TTCAGATACTACTAGACCATGACATATGAGATTAGGCCATGTCGGTGCAAAAGCTCTACAAGGACTTGTAAAAAAAGGTCTTTTAAAAGGTGCCACGACTTGTAAGCTTGATTTCTACGAGCATTGTGTCTTGGGAAAGCAAACTAGAGTGAATTTTGGTATTGCAGTACATCAGACGAAGAGCATTCTTGATTATGTGCATTCAGATGTTTGGGGTCCTACAAAGACTCCATCTTTGAGTGGTAGACATTGGTTCGTGACCTTTGTTGATGATTATTCAAGAAGGTCTTGGGTCTACACTATGAAGCACAAGAGTGACGTGTTGAGCATTTTCTTAGGTTGGAAGAAAAAGGTTGAGAACCAAACTGGGAGAAAGATTAAAATTTTGCGATCGGATAATGGTGGTGAATACACATACAACCCTTTCTTTAAAGTCTGCAAAGAGGAAGGAATTGTGAGACATTTCAGTGTTCAGGGAACTCGACAACAAAATGGAGTTGCAGAAAGATTGAATCGAACCTTGCTTGAGAAGGTTAGATGTATGTTGTCTCAGTCGGGTTTGAGCAAGTCATTTTGGGCAAAGGCAATTACTTATGCATGTCACATCATCAACCGGTTACTCTCAACTGCTGTTCAGGGCAAGACACCAATTGAGGTATGGACTGGAAAACCTTCTTCTGATTATGGCTATATCCGTATTTTTGGTTCACCTGCCTATTTTCATGTGACTGAAAATAAACTTGATCCTAGAGCCAAAAAGGCTATCTTTCTTGGTTTTAGTAGTGGTGTCAAAGGTTACAGGTTGTGGTGCCCAGAGGTGAAGAAACTTGTAATCAGTTGAGATGTAACATTTGATGAAGAAAGTATGTTCAAAGACTCTGAGAATAATGTGAAAGATATCCAATAGGTGGAGCTTGAGAAAGTTGCCTCTAGTAGTTCCAGTCCTATTTCCGCTAATGTCAAAGCCACTTCAAGTGAAGAAGTGGGAGACCGAGAAAATGTTGCAGAAGTTGAACTTGAAGATTCAATTCTAGATGAAGAACAAGTTCCACCTCAAGAGTCTATTGCCAAGAACAGAGGAAAGAGAAATATTACCAAGCCAACTCGGTATAGTGTTTATGTTTCTTTTGCTCTTCCTATTATCACTGATGAGATTCCATCCAATTTTGAAGAAGCTATTGAGAGTGAAGAAAATGAGAAATGGTGCAATGCCATGGGTGATGAGATGAATTCTCTCTTGAAGAACAAGACTTGGGAGTTAGCTAAATTGGCTAAGGGTAAGAAAGCTATCAGTTGCAAATGGGTGCATGCCAACAAGGAAGGTGCTGATGAGAAAAGCAATGTGAGATTCAAAGCTAGATTAGTTGCTAAAGGGTATGCACAAAATAAAGGCATTGACTACAATGAAATCTTTTCTCCGGTTGTGAAGCACTCCTCAATTCGTATTATGTTAGCTCTTGTGTTGCACAATATGATCTTGAGCTTGTGCAACTTGATGTGAAGACGGCTTTCCTACTTGGTGATTTGAATGAAGAGATCTATGTGTGTCAACCGGATGGGTATACAGTGAAAGGGAAGGAGAATTTGTTTTGCAAATTGAAGAAATCACTTTATGGCTTGAAGCAATCTCCAAGGCAATGGTATTTGAGGTCTAATAAATTTATGAAATGCCAAAATTATTCTAGAAGTCAATATGATCATTGTGTGTACTTCAAGAAGTTGCAAGATGGGTCTTTCATTTATTTGTTGATATATGTTGATGATATGTTGATTGCCTCAAAGAATGTCGAAGAAATTGAGAAATTGAAGAAGCAAATGAAGAATGAGTTTGAGATGAACGATCTTGGTGAAGCGAAGAAGATCCTTAGCATGGAGATCACTAGAGATAGAGAGAAGAGTTTGGTCAGTTTGAATCAAAGACAATACCTTGAAAAGTTGATTCGAAAGTTTGGAGTTCATGTTTCAACTAAACCGATTAGTACCCCTTTGACTCCTCATTTTAAATTGAGTTCTCTACAATATCCTAAAACTGATAAAGATAAGCTGCAAATGAAAAATATACCATATGAAAATTTGGTTAGTAGTTTGATGTATGCAATGGTATGTTCTAAACCAGATATTGCTCATGCAGTTGGCATGGTAAGTCGATATATGCATAATCCAGGTAAAGAGCATTGGCAATCAGCTAAGTGGATATTGAGGTATCTCCATATATGTTCTAAACCAGATGTTGGTTTATGCTTTGAGAGAGATGACTCTAGTATTGGTCATTTTGCAGTTGGTTATGTTGATTTAGATTATGCAGATGATCTGGATGGAAAGAAGTCTACTATAGGCTATGTGTTTACTATGGCTAAAGGGCTAGTTTGTTGAAGGTCCATTTTGCAGTCGTCTGTTGCCTTGTCTACTACAGAGGCTGAATATATGGCAGTTGCTGAAGCTATAAAGGAGGCCATTTGGATACATGGGCTGATTAGAGATTTGGGGGTTGATCAGAAACAAGTTGAGGTACATTGTGATAGTCAGAGTGCCATTTATTTGGCTATGTATCATGTTCATCATGCGAGGACCAATCATGTAGATGTGCGTTATCACTTTGTTCGTGAAGTTGTTGGTGAAGGGAATATCATTCTCTAAAAGATTCCAACTAAAGACTACCTTGCTGATATGTTGACAAAGGTTGTTGGTGTAGCCAAGTTTGTTCATTGCTTGAACTTGGCTCACATTTTGCCTATATAAAGAAGGCGTTGAGCAGTAGGAGTTTTGGAGCATTTTGGCTCAGCTTGAGTTATTCTCTTGCTAGTGTTTGGGAGTAATCTTTGTGTTGATTGTGTTGGTTGGCTCGTCATGGCGTTTTCGGGATTTGGTCAAGGTGAAGATTGTTGAATTATGACCAAATGACAAAACAACTTTCGACTAAATAAAATAAACAAAAGGAGGTAGACAACATCATTATGTTTGTTGAAAAGATAAAAAGGGTCATGATGACGTTTGTAGAAAAAAAAGGTAAAGGCTAGCAAGTAGCCTTATTATTGGTTTTGTTTTTGGGTGCTTTTGGATAGATGAAGGTGTGCAGCCAAATGTGAGAGAAAGAAGAGAACACCATTTTGTTTTAGTAGCCCATATTTGAGAGAGCATCAGAGCAGCAGAAACGTAGAAGACTGTCTCATCTCTTATTGAAAGAGAGCTCATCACTTTGGTTAGTAATCATTCACCAAGGTAGTTGTTGTAATAGTTTTGAGCTTTGTATAGAGAAGAAATTATTCATTATATTTCTCTCTATTTATTTATTTCGGTATTCATCAATTCCCCCCTGAACTTGTGACCATTGGCCAATTTCCCCCCTCAACTTTAATTTTGGCCAATTCCCCCCCTCAACTGTCATAATTAGTCAATTTCCCCCCTCAACTTTAATTTGGCCAATTTCCCCCCTCAACTCTCATAATTAGTCAATTTGCATCCTACTGTTAATTTTTTTTTTAATTTTCCATCTATTCTTTTTTTTTCTTTCAATCTTTCTAATAACTTCCAACAAAGTACTAAAATTAACATAAACTCACTTGCATAATATAGGGTAAAATGTACAAAAACATAATACAATTAGTATGTGATATGGGTTGATTATAAGAAAAAGTTATGAATCGGGTTTAAAGCATGTAGAAGAAGAAATAATAATCCTAAACTCATGGATCAGGCCTATTTCAATAAAATGGGTTATTCTTAATAAGGAGTCGAAATTATGAATTGACTAGCCATTTTTGCACTAAAGCTCGATTCTCCGCAATTTACTTGAACTTAACTTTCACTTTTATAAAGAAAATTGTATTCACATACAAAAATGTACACATCAATCCTTTTCGTTATCAATTTTGTATGGTAAAAAATCAAATAAAATTACTCCATACTGATTTATTATGATTAATAATACTATCTATGATAAATTGTAAAATTCTAAATTTTAATCTATTTGTAATAGGATAAAGACATAGGAAAATGATTAACATACATCTTATTTAGTTTCTTACACACACTTGTTTAATTATGATCAAATTAAAAAATTAACAGTAGGGTGCAAATTGACTAATTATGAGAGTTGAGGGGGGAAATTGGCCAAATTAAAGTTGAGAGAGGAAATTAACTAATTTTGAGAGTTGAGGGGGGGAATTGGTCAAAATTAAAGTTGATGGGGAAATTGGCCAATAGTCACAAGTTCAGGGGGGAAATTGATGAATACCTCTTATTTATTTGGTGTGTGAGAGCTATTGGGTGTATTGGGCCTTTGGGTTGCGAGCTTGCCAACACTTTGTAAACTCCCATTTGATTGATAGTGGATTATTGGGTGAGCTCCTACTGTTTCAAGGACGTACTCCAGTTACACTGACTGTTAAGGAACCTCGTTAAAATCTTGATGTCTTTTATATTTTGTTCTTGCATTCCATTTGATATATTTCCTGTGAGTTAGATTGAGTTGGTTGAAATTGATTTGGTGTTGTCCTAGCACAACAACAAAAAATTACAAAGAGTCTCTAAAACAACCAAAAGCAAAACAATCCCATAGCCAAGTGCTTTCAAATCCAATTATTAGCAGAATTCTAACCAACAACATCTACAAAATTTGCCACAAACTCTGCCTCTTTATAAACATGGCGAAAGAAAGTGTCCACCAACTGGCAGAGTCATCCTCTCAATAGAATATTTGAACAATGAAACTTATACAGAAGAATATTGCAAATCGGAAATTGCTAGGGAGATCATGTTTTTAGACTGTATTTTCTAAACCATGTGATGTGATGTTTGATGGTTGAATTCTTTCTTTAATGATTCAAAAAAGAAGTTCAACTATCAATCGTAACATAATGTGGTTCACAAAATATGGTTTGAATAGATTATTTCTCTAGCATCACCCTAACCAATTTGAATCAGACCTAGTATCAAACTAACTACCAAAAGCAAGACAACAAGCTAGCTAGGGCACCATATGGTGAGAAATGAATTTGCTTTCAACATGCACTGCTACCATGTCCTCCTCCATGTCCCCCTCCATGTCCTCCTCCTCCGCCACCAAAATCAGCACCACCGCCAAAGCCTGCTCCGCCATGGAAGCCTCCTCCTGCAGCATGATTATGACGATGGTGATGAAGATTACCACCAGAAGTTCCGCCACCACCAAAGCCTACCCCGGTACGTCCTCTACAAAAAGAACCTAACGCAGCAACTACGGCGATGCCAACGAACCCAACAATCAGCATGATTTTCCAAGGCTCCATATTTATCTACCATTGGCTACTTGATGCCCCCAACATTCTCCCCTTTTATAGACAAACATTTACAAAAACGTTCGCTTAATGATTCAAGGTTGAATTTTATTAAATTAGTTTCAAATCAACATGTGTTAATTTGAAGAATATAACCATTGACTAGTGGTTAAATGGATAAGGCAAACGCGATTACGCAAACATAACCAGAAGAGCGCATATATAATGATTTTGGGCTCTAGTTGGTAGATTTTTTGTAGGGGGTCTTCGTAACATGACAGGTATCTACATGCAGATCAAATACTATATTATATATATGATTTGTCAATCGTACGAGAAGAGTTTTGTCAGGTGGTTTCTTTTTTTTTTTTTTTTTTTTTTTTTTTTCTGTTGCTGTATATGTAGATGGGATTACGTGTGCAAGTATTATTGTTACTTTCGAGTTATACGTATAACGATTATGGTCCAAATATGTAATTGACTCTCCATGATTTGGGTTATGCTTACGTAACAATTACTTATGCAAGTCCATTTGGCTTTGCACGCAACATTTGGATGAACGGACTAAAACTCCAGAATATTAATAAGGTTGAATGTTTTTTTTGTTTTTTGTTTTTGTTTTGTTTTGTTTTGTTACAAAGGGACCTAAAACCCAAGCAGAACCACTAAACAAAGAAAAACATCATGCTCATAGGGCTTGCACAAACAACTCGGGTCCTAGCAACCCCGAAAATATCATCTAGGAGTAAATCAACAATTGAAGGAGGTGGGTCATCCAAGATAATAGATAATACAATCTAAGTCTAAAGAAAAACTCAGTTTTGCCAAACCATCAACCACCATATTCATTTTCCTATAAACATGACTAAGATCACATTGATCAAATTTGAGCAATCAAGTGATGACAGCCATGCATATTAACAAAAAAGCCAAGAAATGCAAATCATTTGAAGAGTGACACTAAAACAGCAGAATCAAATTCAACAAGTATCCTCATAACACCCTTATCTAAAGCCATTTTCAAACCATTGAATGGTTTGTTTACTCAAAAACTTTATACCCAAAACTTAGTAAGATATTAAAAGAAGAAGAAGAAAACAAATGAATTTCGAATGTGTTGCACGTGGTTCTTTGAAGTACATTCTGCATTTGGTTAGCTTTTGTAAGAAAACTGACAGTGTCATCAAATCCAGAATTTAAAGCCCCAATACATATTCACTAACGCTTTTTAGTACAACAATGATATATAATTCTTTGGGTATAAACAACTCCCATTGGGTAATGGTAATTAATTGAAACTGCGATGAAGTACATATTTTCATCGAGACACACTTAACTAATTACCTTTTTATTCCTTGAGACGTGCATTTACTAATCACCTTGTATTTTAATTCCATCTAAGTGAATATGTTGAATGGTGTCGCAAGGGGGGAAGACAATTCATTGGTGGTGTCCTCAAAAATTCGTCAGGGGCATGGATTTCTGAATTTTGTGCTAATCTTGATCGAGGTGAGATTATATATGTGTTGAAGTTTAGAATGTTTTTTATTGGGCTGCAACTTGCATGAAATAATGGAATTAAGAAGATTATGGTAAAATCGAATCCTGCACTTGTAGTACAATTGGTTTCAAATACAAAAGTGGATAATCACCTTCTGGGAAGTTTAGTACTAAATTATAGTGCCCTTATGCACCAAAGTTGGTCTTGTAAAATCCTCATCTTTATATTGAATTTTTTTTTGTTACTGATGGTTTGGCTTGTTTAGGTTTGTCATGCTGTTTGGATCAAGTCTTTTTAAGCAAGCTATTATCAGTTACTAATTACAAATATAGTTGGGGTCTCCTACCCTCGTGATTTAAATGGAGCCCATATGGTAACACCTCAAATGACTAGCATGCAGCTATAGATGGATTTGATTTCTACTTTTCTTACATTAAGTCACATGGGAACCCCTCAATGTCTCCCCAGTTCCAATCCCTATAACCATTGATTGACAGAGAATGTTAAAAAGATCAAATTTGTTGACTAAATCTTGTAAACTAAATGATATAGAAGTTGATGATTAAATTATTAGTTAAGTGTTGATGATTAGATTATTACTTAAATATTGATTAACGTGCTTATTTTTTTGTTAATGACACATTATTTAGTTTGTAAATTTAATTTATCTAACATTACTCTCTTAATAGTTGACGAGGGCAGTACGTTCCAATCATATGTTAATGAGAAGGCCCACCTAATTAGGCATAAGAAAATACTAATTAAATTTGCCTATTATATGGACAAATAGAGACAACCCAACGGTATTGCAATCGGAATTGAAATTACCAGATCAGATCCTAACAAAGTAATAGAATAAGAAAAAAAAGAGCGTCATGGGAAGTTTAAAGGAAAAGGATCACCTTTTTTAGGAATCCCGCAATCGTGTCTGTTCATCGTACATCGTGCGGTCAGTTTTCGTTAAATACTATTTATATTTGAATTTTAAATTTTAAATTTTAAATGTTTTCTAACCGTTCGATGTACGATAAATGGATACGATTGCGGGATCCCTAGGATCCATAGAAAAAGGATCCGACCAGAATCCTTTTCCAAGTTTTAATAGCTGAAGAGAAGCGTCAATTAGTCAACAAATTACTTGGGAAATAACCAACCACAAGAGTACTAATATTTTACATCTGACTTCACAATATACATGAGATTTAGACACTTGAGTTTAACTTGCATCCTCGAGTCTGGTTTAAATTGGCGAGTTGCAAATATTTAGTTAACAAACTCTGATTATGAGATATGGTAAAATGAATAAAAAATTATCAATTTGAAAGATTGTTCCGAAATGGCCTAACGAATTCGTAATTGGAATTAGAAGATCTCTTTTAATTGATTTGAGCCTTCTTAGTAGCAATTATGCTTTACTGTAGCACAAATGACATGATGTATAGGGCTCTCATAACAACTATGTATTTAATGTACAGACCTTCGTATTTTCGAGCAAGAAATAAGGGGAAAACAGTCTAATCTAAGAGACTCTCGAAAACCCTAATTCTCTTCTTCTTTCTACACTAAAACAGCTGGTCTTAACCATGGAAAAAGCTAAAAGGAGAGAACAGGGATGAAGAGAGGGGGCGGGGGGTTGAGGAAGAGAATGACTATTAGTTAAGAGGAGAAAGCAAACTGACTAAATATTCAACAACCGTCACCAGCATCGCAGCTAATGCAGGCATTTCCGGAGCTTCCATTGGCATTTAGGCGAGGATTGGAACCGAGGCAGAAACATATCAGACCTAGCAACAGTATGATACAGCATGCCGTCCCTATACCTGCTGCCAAGTACAGAATATGGTTCATAATATTGACTCTTCCGAATTCCGATATTAACCGGTGATCCTCCTCCTCCTCCCTCCGCTCCTCTGCTTAAATAATTTTCACCGTCGTGTAGTCTTAACAACTTTTCATGCATGCATGCTGTTTCTGTGTGTGTGTGTGTGTAATGCTGTTTGACCCCTCGACATCAAGAAAATTAATGCATACGCATCAAAAAATTAATTTGTCGATCATTAAAGTGTTATATGTCTACCTTCTAAACCTTTTAAATCTCTAGTTTTTGCTTCTATTTTCTTGTCTTTTTTTTACTCAAACAATTCAACATAACAATATCCACTAACATAATAAAACATAATATCGCGTATACAAAGTCAACATAATAATATTGTGTGTGCATGAACAAGATAGTTATATATGACAAAAAAAAACAAGATATATATATATTTATGCAGTATAATGTAAAAAAAATAGTATAACTACAACTAGAAAACTATCTAAAAATACGACAAAATTCTATAAAAATTTACACAATGATTATCTTAATTAATTTGGAGTGCAACACCTAGTAGATTTATGATTTTTTTTTTTCACGCTACACTACTACGTATCTTTAATTTATTATTGGAAGGAATTAAAACGAGAAGACTAATGGAATCAAAGTAAGATCTCGTTCTCGTGTGGAGGAATCAGCAGCGAATGAAATCTGGAGCAGGGGAATTAATTGTAGTGCTGCACGTGGGCTAACCGAGCTTGAAAAAGGCCGAATAACATGGGCCGGTCCGTGGATTGAAGCCTTAAAGCAACCCAATGTCCCGTACTTCTCCTCATCTTTTATTTTAAGGAAAACTAATGAAAAGGGCTTGAAAACTTTGAGTTTTAATGATAAGAACAAAATAAAGGGTAAAGTGAATAGTACCAGGATTGACTTTTTAGTGTAAAAATGTGGTTTTTCGTTAAAGTGAACAGTACCGGGTGCTTTTCGTTAAATTTCCCTTTATTTTAAGCCACGTAAAACTATTTTTAAAGATGTCAAATTTTAAACGTAAAATTGAAATTTAACAGTTTATAGTTTAAATTTTTTTTTTAATTTTGTTCTCCATCCGTGTGTCAAATTCAAAATTATTTATTACATTATTTATTTTTATACTTGTGATAAGTATTTTTAAAACCACAAATAATAATAAAAATGATAAAAAAAAATATCAATCACTACAAATAGATATGAAGAAGTTGCTGTCAAAATGATGTCAATTCACGTCATGTCACATAGGAATTGGCATTTTCGGTTGAAAACAATGAAGGCGTCATTTTTTACTGTTATTGCTCGTGGACCTTTTGACTTCTTCTCTAAAGATACTTTAATAGATTTTTATTTTTTAATTTTTTTTTTGAAAACAAAATTTATTAGATTGAAAAAAATCAAGAAAAGTTAAAGGATGGAATTAAATACAAAATTTTATCAGCAAAACTTTGCTACTCAATAAAGATGAAAATTTTGGCCCAAATGCGACAAATTTAAGTTAAATTACACGATGAATTAGCCATAACAACTTAAGCATGTAAGCAAATAACATTTTTTGCTACTTTTATTAATTTTTTTCGATTTGTTGCTTTTGTGTGCAATACGAACCCCACTCTCAAATACTATTGAAGCTTTTTTAAATATTACACTACTTTCTTGATGATAATAATACATTTGTAAAAGTTTTCTTTCCTTTCCCTTTTCTTTTTTCTTTCTTTTTTCCCAGCTAAATTCATTGGCAGGCATTTTAATATTCCTTTGTATAAAGTAGGCGGTGTTAGGTTAGATTAACAAACCAGTTTAGCTGTTCTAATCAAATTAATCTCATTTTTCCATGATTAATTAACAGGAAACCCAGTTGACCACTAAATAGCAAAGGATGTGTCTTGTTTTAAAAACAAATCCAGAAACCTGTCTCTAGGTTTGCAGCCGGTCATTAAAATTGTTTGACAATCGAATCATGAATTCATGGTTACGATTCTTTCTGTATCTCTCTCATCACATGATTAGATTAATCAAGCATAAACTCTAATCTCGTCAAGCAACGAAACCTAATAACAGAACTAATTCCAACATACAATATCCTTTATGGGCATTTGTTCAAAAGCACTAGATCATATAACTCATGCAACTAAACTAAATCATTGCATTCTATTAAAAGCAACAGATTTTATGACGAGTAGAGAGGGCACGAAGAACGCACGCTCATATGTTCTATGAATGTTAGCAACTACTGCACAAAGTAAGGCCCTCTTCAATGTTTCTTACACAAACGGATAGCGAAATGAAGCAATTTTCTTTACATTAACAAAGTTCATCACAATTTACATCCTGCTGGTGATTTGCAAAGGTAAGAGGCAGCTTTTACCCGAGTCCCGAGAACTCCAGTTTAACCAATGTTATTTGAAGGCAGCCACAGCGAAGCTCAAGTTTAGAATCACATATCTTGTATGAGATTCACAATCAACAGGACAATGTCTAAATAGAAACAATAAAAGGCTGTTGAAGAAAAAACATGTAAAACAAAACCGTATCAATTCATTCGTATCTACTGAAAAAAATGAAAATACAAATCAATGAACCCATTAGCAACTGTGAACTAGAAACATACATGATTAACAGCGAGTACAAAACAAAACGAACCCACACAACAAATAGACAAATAAGAATCAAAGCAGGATTCACTCACGTCTTAGGAAGGCTACAGCTCACTATAGTTGCGCCAAACTGCACGAAATTCCTCACGGTAAGTGTTCAGGCGTGCTTTCAAGTTTGGTGTTCTGAAGCTTGCGTGCAACAAAGTGGCTGCAAGACAGACGGAGAAAGAGACAGAGGAACAGAGAGAGTAAATCAATTACAAAGCATACAGCATGTGAGTTAAATGAATATGGATTATAGGAAAGGAACATACCAAGAAGTCCAAAAGCAAGTGCCCACAACACAGTTAAGAGACCACAGGAGACAAACCATAGAATGAAACTCACTACACATAGGAAATGAATGGTTGGTAAGTAATGAAATAATTGCTTGTCGATATAAATAAACACCAAAACAAATATTGAAGTCACAAACTAGCTTGCTTTGACTAATCCAGAACAAATATAGGGAAGAGGATTTACGTACCAGAAGAGAATATCATGACAAACACCCATCGAGGCCGACCACATATGAATATTGCTCTTTTAGCTGATGGACGTCCACGAATTACAGGCCTGGAAATAATTAAACAATCTATGAAGCAACTGCACTCGGTTCATAGTAGGTCAAATGATAAGCGACCAAACTTACGTAAGGGGAGGTCTCATTTTTGCAGCTAAATGTGGAGAGAATTGTCTCACGGTTCTTGAAACTTTCTCACTAAAGGTACCTGCAAAGCTGTAGCAATGGTACTTACAATAATATCTTAAATAAATAACAGATAGTAACCGGTAAATAAATAAGGGATCATACAACTTATGCAAGATGCTTGTAGGAAGATCCAGGATTTTAGGATGACCCTTAACTGTTGACTTAACTGTTGAGAAGTGCACATCATCGAAATATAGATACTTTAATTATGAAAACAATTACTATAGAGAACACTATAGCCTTGTTTGGTCTCTAGGATTGGATTGAATTGGATTGGAATGGACAACCCACTATATCCTAGACACCAAACGAGACCTACATGGTTTAAGTAGACTCATCTAAGGGCACAAATATATAGAAACTGAACAGCATTCATCTAAATAACTAATTTACTCATCTAAGTTCACCTTGTTCAAACCCAATGCTTCAAACTCGTAATAAGATACCAAACCGAAATTCATTTGGCGATACTAAGTTATCGCAAAGAACTGTAAAACTATAACATGCGAGCAGGATAGGCGAATTAATCCAAAAAGTAATCACTAGCATGCGAGCAGGATTAGAGTGTATTACCTGTCATTGAGAAACGCAATGCTGAGCGCAGTAAGAACAGCCGCAATAAGAGCGAGTGGACTCCGGAGAAAAGCCAAGCCTGCAGTTGAAATTTGAGATTTCAAAACACAATTACACGCACAGATAAGGCAATAGATTGGCAATTAGAGAAAGAGATTGAGGCTGCCTTGTTTGCTCACCAAGAACTAGCACGATCAAAAGGAAGTAGTTGGTCCTGTAGCTGCACAAAATCCAAAAAATGGGAAATTCAAAAAACGATTAATCATAACTAATTCAATAATTCAAATATCTAATCGCACAAACATAAAAATTTGAACTGAATTCAGTACAAGAAAATTAAGTCTTACAAAAATACGAATCTTCGGAATTCGAATTACAACAGTCGAAACAAATAAGGTGAATTAGGAGGGAGAGAGAGGGAGGGAGGGATCGTACTAGTAAAGATTGCATTTGAGGCGGCTATTCCATTTGGAGGAGGATCTGGGGATGGTGAACCTGGAGAAGAATTCAGAGAGAGGGCGCGGCGGAGACGACCAGTCGACCTCGCGGAGGGCGTCGATCACATCCTCCGCCGTGACGTTGCCCCAATCCATTTCTTTTGCGGCGCTTCGAAACCCTAGCTAAGACTGAGTCGAACGGAGAAGAAGGAGACCGCGAAGTCGAAACGGTGGTTGGTGACGGAAAAGGAAACAGAACCGTCGGGAAAGAAGGGATCGGAGGGAGCTCGGTGGTGGCGGGGTGTGATATGGAAATTGAGGAATTGGGGGAAATGAATATAAGCTGGGGAAGGAGAGAGGACCAAATTAACGACTGGGGATAATGGCGAGTAGGCGGCCACCCGCGAAAATTAAAAAAAAAAAGTGTCTGAGCCCGGGTTCGAACCGGGGACCTCTAGTGTGTGAGACTAGCGTGATAACCGACTACACCACCCAGACGCTTCGGCTAGGAATCGCTGCTGTTCTTTCTTTAACTAATGAGGGTAAGGTGTAAGGGCCAGTTTGGTATTTGTAGTGCTTTTTTAAAAACTGTTTTTTTTTATGCTTTAAGAATAATTAGATGTAAAATAAAGCAATTGAGCGTTTGGTAAGTTATATTTTAAAAGTGTTTTGAGTATGAAAAGTTGTGTAAAATCGTTTCTTAAATTTTAATGTAAAGTAATATAATTGTACACAATGACAAAAATATACATGATAGTGGGGTGGTGGTGATACAACAACAGTGAAGGCAATGGTGATGGTAGTGACAAAGCTAGAGGTATGGTGGTGGTGCCAATAGTGAGGTATGGTGGTTGGGATGTAGAGGTAACAATGATGGTAGATGTTAGTGGCACTTATGTTTGTGGTGGCAATGGCATCGGCTATGGTTATGGTGGTGATGGTGGCATTGATGGCGGCATCATCAGTGGTGGTGATAGTCGTGATGGCAATGGTGGGATAGTCGTGATGGAAGTGGTGTAGTTACGGTGGTGGTGGTGGTGGTAATGACAATGGTTGGCTAGGGTTAGTGTTTGAAGTGGTAGGTGGTGACGGTCACTTTGTTATCCAAGAGATCAATTGAGCATCAAAAGGTTAAACAATGTCAATTTTAAAAAACTAATCAAGGTATTACAAGAATTGAAAATATTAACTAAAGACTCAAATTTGCTTTTATTAAAGCTGTTTAAAAAAAAAACAATCTACAAGCTGCTTTTAAAAGTTGTTGATTAGTTGTCATTGTTTTAAGATAAGCAATATATTTTATTTTTACCAACCACTTTTTAATTGCATAAGTTTAAAGTGAAGCAGTTTTTGGCGAAAAAAAAAAAAACCAAACAGGACCTAAAATTTTGAAATGATTTTATAAGAATCTTTCTCATGTGTTTCGCTTCGTAAGTGATTACGTGACTCGTAATGCAGTTCTTACTTCTCAATGTATTCTTAATTTATTAACATGTAAGAAAATCTGACCATCAAATGAAAGCAAAACCTTACTTGAGGAGAGAGAAAAAACACAAACAATTTCTTTTTTCTTTTTGGTTACTTTGCAGTGTTATGAATTTTTTTTTATTTCCCAACAATGCCTTACGTCATCTACCTATTTATTTTTGCATTATATACATAGTGACAAATGTCAAAACAACAACTATCATTATAGGCTGAGACCGACATATTCGTCTTATATTCACATAAAAAAACTCAATTGAGTGCAAACTTATCTTGAAAAATACGAATTTATATATTGTACTTGTTCTTTGGTGTTGGAGTAATTTACATAAAAATCCATCCAATAAGGATATAACAATTATTTTTTTCCATAGACATGGAGGCTCTTGTATAATGTCGGCTTCTATGTTATATTCAAGAGAACAATTACTTACGTATACGCAAATTTCTCCTCATATCACGTGAGAGGACATTTAATAAGGAAAATATATAGTATGAAATTTCTTTTATTATAGAGCGAAAAAAAAAATCTTATTATGATTAATTTAAGAAATGGGCTCACCATTTACGACATAATTGGTTAACAAAATGTGTTCACTTTTATTACCTTTTTCTTCAATTCCATTCACGGTTATTTCGTTTTTAATTAGAGAACCTTTTCCTGCTGCAAGAGGAAAAGGGTTTTTTTTTTTTTTTCAAATAATTTTGCTACCCACGTCAGCAAAAGTAACTCCACTCCTCACACCAATAACCACTTGAATTGACCCAAAATAACCACGTGAATTGACCCAAAATAACCACGTGAAATGTTATTAAAACATGATATTGAGCGCATTTTCGACCTTGCTCTTAAATTAGGGGAGATTTTTCAATGTGTTTAGAGCGTGTATCGGTACATTTTGTGTCACTATATAACTGAAAAAAAATACTTGTATTAAAAAATTAATGACTTATGATCATCTTTAAAAGATATGTCAATTTCAAGTGACACAATAAAATTTGAAAGTAGAATGAAACTTCAATCGATTTCTTAATTATTTTATTGCACAGTCTCATTAATGCATCAATTATAAATCATGAAAAATTATTTTTATTGATTTCTTTTAAAAATGGATCCGATAAATATCATTTGTAACAAAAAAATATATGGGTTGGAATAAGAAAAAAAAAACTAACATTGCCACATCACTTATCAAATTAACATTTCACATTTATCATTTAACGTCTCTATTGGAAGTGTTCTAAAATTAAACCTTTCATTCACTAATATAATAACACATAGTATACAACACATAATGTTAAAAATATTATTTATTAATCTAATCATCGCTTTATTAAGGGGAGTGAACATATTTCAATTATTGTCCCTGGTTCAATCCCATCATCGCCAACCTCAACAGAAAATACCTTCCGCCAACCACACCGCGCCACCTGTCAATGAACAGCCACGACTCGAAGAGAAGACGCTCGTGTGCGCCCCCTCACGATTTGTACCGGATATACGCATCCGCAGGGAATCATCGCTCTCGCTCCCTGTTATGTTTTAGCTCTACGCTTTCTCTTTCTTCAGCCTCTTCCCCCGTCCCCGTACTTGGACGCTACCGAAAATCCTCTCACTCCACCGAAAAGACAAAAAAAAAAAAAAAAAAAACCACTAATCTCAATTATTATCACTAATCACGAATTTGCAATCATCACGATGACGAAGTTTATCAGATTGCTTAATCAAATATTCTAATCGGCTTAATCACATCAAGTTTTTCAACCTTACGCTCCGAATTAATAAGCAAAAGACCTCCCATTAATCTCCTACCCCTCTCTCTCTCTCCAATTTTTTTTCTCTTTCTCTCTCATCGCGTTATCAGAATCCGACCGAAACAGGGGTCGAAATCGAATCCCGAGGAGATCTACATACGAGGTCCGGCAAGTTCGGAAATACGGGAGCTTCAAGATTCGGGTTTCGGGTTCGGAGCCGTTAGGGTTTTGGGTTATTTGGAGGGGGTAGAAATGGCTCAGGCGTCCGGGAGGGGGAGGGTCGTCGGGGACTATCTAGTGGATCGGCAAATCGGGTCGGGTTCGTTCTCGGTGGTTTGGCACGCGCGCCACCGGGTCCACGGGACGGAGGTGGCGATTAAGGAGATCGCGACTGGGCGGCTGAACAAGAAGTTGCAGGAGAGTCTGTTGTCGGAGATTTTCATAATGAAGAAGATTGACCACCCGAATATTATTCGGTTGCACGATATTATAGAGGTTGGTGGAATTTAGGGTTTTTTTAGTTTGTTTATATTTTTGGCTGAAGTTCTGTTGCTGAGAAAATTGGGGAAAATGGAGGGAAAGTGTATTGAGCTCTGCTGTTTCGATTAGGTTTGAATTTTTCGGGGTTTCTGGATGCTGAAAGCTTTGAATTTACTTGAGACTTTGATTACTTTGTGTGGCTATGTTGTTTGGAAAGTTCATACATAGAAAAGTCTGTCTCTTTCTCTCTCTAGGAGCTTATTGAAGTCTTCTTTGTTGCTTTCTGGTGTTCGTGGAATCTTAATATTTCCTTTATGTAATTAAGGCATTAAATTTGCAGGGAATGTGTACTCTGCATTGAAACAACTGCGTTTTCTTGTTGCATTTAGTAAGAACATAAACTTTAGCGGGCTGAAAAGCGCTCTAGGATTTGTTTGGTTGATGACACATGTAGAAATGTGAATACTTTTAACTGAAAATGGCTTCACTTGATCGAAAACTAAAACAACTTTCTGCATTGGTTGAGGAAAATGAATAGGTTATGAAGTAGTGCTTCCAGCGTTTTCTTGTCGCATTTAGTAAGAACATAAACTGGAGTGGGCTGAAAGGCCCCCTAGGATTTATTTGGTTGATGACACATGTAGAAATGCAAATACTTTCACAGAAAATGGCTTTACACGAGTGAAAGCTGAAGCCACTTTCTGCTTTAGTTGAGGGAAGTGAGTAGGTTATGGGGTAATGGTTCCAGCATTTTCTTGTCGCATATCGAAAGAAAACGCCAACCCTTTGTCGGCAGCGAAACTTAGCGGGGCAAAAAACTTCCAGCATTGGAGAACTGGATGTTTGGCATGAGAAGTTATCATTTTAGGCATTTAATAATTGTTTTTGTACATAAATGGAAGGCACCTTTGGAATTGCCTAATTAGTAGAGAGATATAACTGGTGCTATGCTTTACTTTGTTACGATTTATGGGTGGGGAAAAGACCAATCTCGCTTTTGCTGTTGGTTAACGCTTTCAAATTACCCCTCATTTCTTTGTTTCCCTCATAATGTTTGTTTGCCATTCAATTAAAACAGGTTCCTGGGAAGATAAATCTTGTCTTAGAGTATTGCAGAGGTGGCGATCTTTTTATGTATATTCAACGTCATGGAAAAGTGCCTGAAGCTCTTGCAAAACACTTCATGCAGCAGCTAGGTTTGCCTCAGAATTTTTATTGCTTCAGATCATCTTCTTTTTCTGTCTGCATATATAAGGAGTTGTATATGTACTAATTTTGAAGTAATTGTGTTACTTACAGTGGCAGGTCTACAAATGCTTCGTGACAACAATCTTATACATCGGGATCTCAAGCCACAGGTCTGGTTGAATCAAATGCTAATTATAATTAAATTTTGATTGTTCAATTAGTGCAATGATGGTTTAGGTTAGTTATATTTTTCAACTTGATCATTACCATTTATATAGTGATGATCTCTCACCAAATAATCTAATGTCAGATTATTAATCAGGACAGCGTATAATCATACATGATCGATAATTCCATCTGATCAATATGTTGCTTGATGCTAGGCAATATAACATGTTCTGATAAGACAACGAGCTAACATGCTAGATTGTCTGGTAGGAGATCATCACTATACGTTACACATACATATACAGGCATTCTGTTGTAAGGGGCTAACATAAGTAGCTAATCCGAGGGCATCAGTTTTAGGATTATAGCACTCCTGCTGTTCGGATTAAAATATTTCCACCCATTTGAGTCTCAGCTGTAGAGAAATATTTAATGGTCTAAGATTAGGTACTTATGTATAACTAAATAGTGATGGTTGGAGATGTCATAGGATATTGTTTGATTTGTAGTAATCTTGTCTTTGCAGAAAGGTTTCGTTGCTATGTCATTCCATTTGTAATGTTTATCATTCTTGGAACAGAATCTCTTGCTGTCCACCAATGACAACAATTCAGTCTTGAAGATCGCAGATTTTGGATTTGCAAGGTAAAAGCATCATTGTCGTTTTGCTTTTTTTGGGGTAAATCGTTACCCTATCTATTCAAGCATGTCCATTGACTTCATTATTATCTTTTAGTAATTGATTGCATATGGTGTTTGTTGACTCTCTATCCCATTCATTCTTATCAAAATTTCCTGTTTTTGGGGCAGATCTCTGCAACCTCGAGGCCTTGCTGAAACCTTGTGTGGTTCACCACTTTACATGGCTCCAGAGATAATGCAACTTCAAAAATATGATGCAAAGGTGAAATTTACTCTTCTCTACTGATAGGCAATCACAATTATTTCATGAGCCATTTTCCCACTAACCTTGAACTGAATACGCAGGCAGATCTCTGGAGTGTTGGTGCAATTTTATTTCAACTTGTAACTGGGAGAACCCCATTTACAGGAAACAATCAAATACAGGTTCAGTTACAAAACCTTTCCCTTTTCCGTTTCCTTTTCTTTATAGACCTCAAGCTAATATTAGGTATGGACCAAATCAGTAATTTTCAATTGTATTTCTGCCTCACTTTTCAATTAATTTCTCTCGTGTTTTGCAGTTGCTTCAGAACATACTGAAAGCAACTGAGTTGCAGTTCCCTTCAGATAGCAACAATTTGAGTTCAGAGTGCAAGGAATTGTGTCAGAAATTGTTACGCCGCAATCCGGGTATCTAGTTTTGGTTCAATAATCCAAGTATTCATCTAATATAATTAAGTGAAATTTGCATGTGTAATTCCAAGTTAGGCTAAAACAGGACAATAATTGGATGCTAAAACGGGTTTATAATCATTTTTATGTTGCCAAGTTTCTTGATTTTGCGTGAGAGATGGAAGCTAGCTGCATGAGCTGGTTCCTATCAGTGTAAAACCTTGATATATCATTGTTGTTCTTGTATAACTAGAATGACCTTGGCTTAGTTTCACTTTTATAAGAACTGAAAGGATGTATACAGCTTAGGCATGTAAGAATTCTAAGTTGGTTTGTTGTTACACATTGAGTTCATAGTTACTTTACTGTGGTAGTGCTCCAAATAAGTGTAAGCGCTTTTTTTATCTTTTTTGATACAAGTGAGAAAGGGATAGTGTAGTAGAACCCGCAAGATTCTTATCTCCAATAAAGTATGTGAACTAGAATTTAAGATGGATATAGGAGTGACTAGAAAATACAATAAAAAATGTTTGCATTACGAAAAGGTTGAGAGTGATACCTAATAATGGTAGATAAGAGAAACTAGGCTCAGATGGTATGAAGATGTGTAAATAATAGGATTAAAAAGGTGACCAAAACAAACATCAGATGAAGACTAAATTAATGTGGAAGCATCTTAAGAAACTCAGATTTATATGTGATCCAATATATTCTAGAAACAAAGGGAAAATGATGAATGAACGAATGCATGCATGGAAGGATGATTGAAATCTGCTTAGCTCCTGATTTGTTTAACTAATGTTACCCCATAGTTCTGATTTTTTTCTCTGTTATTGTGTATACAGTGGAACGCCTAACATTTGAAGAGTTCTTTAATCACCCATTTCTTTCTCAACAGTCACCATATTCAAGGTAAATGAGGCAAATAGTTCAGTCTTCATGTGTTTGACTAAAACTATTCCTTATATTTAAGATGATTCTTGGTTTCATGCAGGAGTAGGAGGGCATCAAGAATGGCGGATGGACTTCCTACATCTGAACACAATGCAATGATGAACATGGAGGAAAGTTCTCAAGAGGATTGTCTGCCTTTCCTTTTAGATGATGATTCCAGTGGCCCTGAGGGGAGCCCATCCTTTTCAAGGAGGAGGTCCTCGATGAAGTCCACTTATGGATTTTCTCTCGATACAAAAGGTGATAGACGGGAAGCATCACCTACCACTTCGTACAGATATGGCAATGCAACACGTAAAGAAAATTCTAGTCTTAGGTTGGACGGCCATAGACCATTAGATAGAAATCTAACTGACCCTCTAAGATCTGTGCACCAAAAACCAGTGAATGCTCGATCAAGAGGTAGGATTCTGTTGTACTCTTCTAATTTCATTATTAGTTATCTACATCCAGAAATGTCTTAATACAACATGCATCTATTATCTTATTTGCGTTCGCAGTTATGGATTCACTGGAGTTGATTGATCAAGATTATGTTCTTGTGTCTGGACCTCCAGTTGATTTGTCTTCTTCCTCAGCTAGTGCTTCCAAACCAAGCCCTTCTTTATACAAATCACAGAGTCTCCCTCGAGAATCATTAGCCACCTCGTCAAGTGCCCCAATGCCAATCATGGGTGCAGCAGCTAATAGTAACATGTGTTGCATAGGAAGCTTGGATAGTCAGAGTTCTGCTCCAGGGACGTCATTAGGATCAACGGATATGGGAGATGCGTTGGAGCAGCCATCAACACACTGCATGACAAGGCTTAGTTCGTTGCAGCAATGTGTGTCTGCTCTTACTGAATTAGTTCATGAAAAGGTAAATCATGAGATGCCCACTTGTATGAAGTTTTTTATGGTTCCCTCTGTAAAATCAGTATGTAGAAGTTCCTTGTTTGAAAAAATCAGAAAAATGCACTGTTGTTAAGATTAGCGTATAGAATCTTTTGGTGCTAAGAGTTGATACTGGTACCTACATGCATGTGCTTCAGATGCAGCTAGACTAGACTCTTGATTTGCTATACAGAATGATGGGTTTTCTCTGCTATACACTGAATATTATTTCTATTTCCCTTGTGTTTTAACTGATTACGGTATCTCTGTGTGTTTCTTTTTATGGTGGGAAAAGACGCAGGCAGGGAAGCATCGAGAAGCATTCTCAATTCAGCTCGTAATTCTTGCAATTTGGAAGCAAGCTCTTCATATATGCCATACACAGGCTGCCTCAGCTATGGAAGGAAGTCCGAGTCAAGAAACTACAAGATTTAGGACCACCAGCAAGAAGCATAATAGTCCTGATATGGACGAAAGCCTTGATGTTAACACTCAAGGACCTGAAGATATTTCCTCTCAGATTGAGCGGGAATTTCTCCAAGAAGTTGAGCATGCAGAGGAGCTTGCAAAGGCTATTGAGCCCGGTATGCATTCAATTCTCAATGTCATCTGGAGCCTTTTTGGTTTTGCCATATGCATCATTGATTAAGTACTTATGACCAGTAAGACCAAATGTTTCTCTGCTCCTATAATGTGGAAACTATTTCATCGATGACTTTTGGAAACCAGTTTTGCATCATTCTTGTCGTATTTATGCATGCATGTTTCGCTAAATAAGAACACTAGGTTCTTCCTGATATCTTCAGTTGACATGAAAACATAATTTTTTTTGTTTATCTTCTCTAACAATCTTCTGGTTTACTTTCTAATGGTTACAGGACATGCAGAGATGCCAGATGCAATGGAGACAATATTTCAATCTGCTCTGGCTTTCGGGAAAAATGGGGGCGTAAGTATATTTTTTCCTCTTTTCTCATATTTGTAAACATGCCATTCATTTCTCTTTTAAATTTTGTTTACACAGATTAAACTAGCTGTAAAGGCTCTGAAAACCGTTGTCTTTTTAAAACCAATGCTCCTTCGACACAAATCTGTTTGGTCTTTTCTACATGCTCGTCTATTTATCATTCAAACTGTATATCATCCACGAAATTACCTTCAAGCCAGATCGTTACATACTCTATAGCAGAGAATCAACTTATAAAATCTAGTGGTAGAAGTAAATTGGTATTCCTCGTATATGTAGGTTGATGAGCTAATGGGTAACATGGAAAGTGCGGCAGTGTTCTATACGAAGGCTGTGCGCCTCTTGGTCTTTCTTCTAGTCGAAGCACCATTGCTCATTCTCAACCCGCCATTCTCCCTGACAAACTCTGACCGGTATAGGCTTCGAAATTACATTGGCATACTTAATAACAGGCAAGGTTACTCAAGGTCTCAGCGGATGGCGATTTTGAAGTGCGAGGAACAACAATGCCCGCCTTAGAAATGAATAACTTAAAAGTGTAGTTTTCTACGTGCCCCGATTGACTGTACACTGTATAATAATTTGTTTGTACAGCTATTCTTTGATTGAAGGATGTGGGAAGTTGGTGGAACATGTTTAGTTCATTAGGTAACATGTATTTATTTCATTTCTGTCATTTAAAGAATGATGAAAATGTTCATATTCGTTTACCCCTTTGTGTTGTGTTTGTGCCTGTTGTAATGGACATCAAATATTTATTAGGTTACAAGCGATATTCTACCCAAAGAGGAGTGGGCGGGTTTGAATCCGAGCAGCAGTATGTTGAGGAATGGCTTACGTTCTGCCCGATCCATTCATTACTTGCTAGAGCACATCTCATTACAGATACAAATACTCCGTCACAGGGGCTTGCCTACACCTGGGATGCTACTATGGCCGTATCTCAAATCAATAATGTCCTTATGCGCTAAAATTAGATGCATGAGCTTCCGTTATTTGCTTGGGATATAGGTAAGTCTCTCACCAACCCTTTTTAGGTTGACTTGTCTGAATTGTGAGTAGTTGGGCTATCAATGTTGGGGATAGTAGGTCGGACTATAAAAGTCCTCATAAAACACCGGGTGCCAGGACAAAATGTGGCCCTTCCGGAAATTGATGTCTCCTCTTTGCCGTCGTCTTTAGGCAATGGAGGTCAACGTCAACCCGTACACACAGTTTTAAAATCTTTACCTTTAACCCACCAATGTTACTACACTAGGGAGGAAAAAAGTTTGAACCGGGACGTAGTGAGTTGAACAAGAGACTAATTGGCGGGATAATCCACAACCTGCAGCCCACCAACTTTGGTGATTCTATTTTATGGCACTCCATCCAAGCTTCTATGTTCATTAAACATCATTAGTCATTACAAAACCTTCAACTCTCCTCCCAAACCAACCTTATACAAAGAGCAAGAAGCGCTAATATCGACTTTGGGAAAAAGCACTTTTGGAACTGGCTGTTTCAGCTTCCATTTCGACAATGACAATGGTTTGACGCTCATGTTCGATGGTCCTGACATTTCGATCTTGAAGGCACTGTGCAGGAGCTCCGATGGAAGATGGATAAGTTTTGCTATGCTGAGCTCACGAAAGCAGCCGAAAACTTCAAGGAAGAGCTTGGAAGAGGAACCTCCGGTGCTGAGTACAAGGGCGTTCTGGCGGACGAAGGAGTGGTGGCTGTGAAGAAACTGAAGATATATATCAAGGGGAAGATGTGCTTTAGGCAGAGGTTTGCACGATTGGGAAAATCAATCACATGAACCTAGAGGGAATTTAGGGATTCTGTCCCGATAATAAGCACAAACTCCTTGTCTCTGAGCACGTCGAAAATGGCTCGTTGGACAAGCACCAGTTCCCCCCAAATTTCCTTGGATGGCAAGAAAGGTTTAAAGTTGCAATGTGAATAGCAAAGGGTTTAGCCTATCTTCACCCTGAGTGTCTAGAATGGATATCCATTGCAACATGAAGCCCGAAAACATACTTCAAGACAGAAATTTCGAGCTAAAGATTGCAGATTTTGGGCTAGCAAAGTCAACCCAGAGAGGCAGCCTGAGCTCAATGTTCTCTCAAATTCGAGGGACGAAAGGATATATCATATATGGCTCTCGAGTTGGCTCTGAACCTTCCAATCACTGCGAAAGCGGATGTCTATCGTTATGGAGTGGTGATTCTAGAGATGGTGAAGGGCATTCGACTATCCAGTTGGGCACTAGAGAACACTGAGGATCAAGAATCGGAGCTGACTATCCAGTTCGTGAGGGTAGAGAAGCGGAACATTTAACGCGGGGAAGATCGGTGGATCGAGGATATGATGGATTCAAAGCTGAATGGACAGTTCAACTGGAAACAAGCAGCAAAGATGGTAGAGATTGGAATTTCCTGTGGAGGGAAGATAAGAGCAACATACCAATACAGTAATAAAAACTTTGTTAGAATGTGAAGATTGAATCCTTGGTAAAAATAAGTATTGCTATCACATTTATAAGTCTTTTGTGTACAAGCGATAGTCTAAACTACTCGATACAACTCTAATCTACGGGAAAGGAGATTCAAATTCAGGTGCAAGGGCTGGACATACTGCGTCAAACTAACCTAACGCAAAAGAAAAATCAACGTCATCTCGGATTTGTGCATGTTTTGTACTATACATATTGCGCAAAATATCTTCGGAAGAATTCAGATTGCAATTTGCTACTTGAATAAATTGGGTTTAATAATATTCAAGTTGCATAACGCGTTCAATAGACCATAATATTTCATGGAATTAAAAGAATTAATAGTTTGAAAATAATTGTAGTTATGGTGTAGAAGCAAAGACATTTGCTGTAATAAGTTTGACTTTTATTGCATAATCGAAGAACATTCCGCATATAATCCCAAAGAAAAAAAAAAACCAAGAGACGAACGTTCTATTTCATGGCAAGACGGCAACTTAACAGTCCAGATTGGCACAAGACCATTTCCAACAGCCCTGAAGCATTCTCCGAAAACCGCCATGGAAGTTCTCAAACTTCTTGTTCTTTCGCTGTTTGCAGCCACGGTTGGTTGGAGTCAAGCGGGGTTCACAGGGCTGCAAAGCCTAAGGCCGGGGAGTTCTTTGATAGTTGAGGAAGAAGGTGACTTCTTGGTTTCGCCCAACGGAACTTTCTCCGCTGGATTTTACCGCATTGGCAGCAATTCATCTTGTTATTCAATATGGTTCACAAAGTCAGCCGATAAAACAGTGGTTTGGATGGCGAATAGAGACAGACCGGTCAGCGTACGAGGATCCAAGCTAACCTTCCACAGAAATGGCAACCTGGTCTTGACTGATGGGGTTGGATCGATTATATGGTCAACCAACACTATCTCCAACACGGGCTTGGAAGCACGGCTTCTTGAGACCGGAAACTTGGTGCTGCTCAACCAAGAAAAGAAGGTCATCTGGCAGAGTTTTGATTTTCCCACGGATACACTTCTACCGTCACAGAAATTTGTCAAGAACACAACCTTGGTGTCTATGAGAAGTCAAGGTACATACTTATCTGGATTTTACAACTTCAAATTTGACGATAATAATGTACTATATCTCATATACAATGGCGCTCTACTTTCAAGTGTTTATTGGCCAAGGACGGACCTAACTGTTTTCCAGAGTGGTAGAACACCTTACAATAGTTCTAGACTAGCAATTCTGGATGAGGCCGGACAATTTATATCGAGTGACAATTTGAAGTTCAATGCATCTGATTACGGGGTTGGTCCAAAACGCCGTTTAACAATGGATTATGATGGCATCTTGAGGTTGTACAGTCTAAATGAATCATCCGGGCTTTGGGAACTGTCATGGTTGCCTGAGGGTGTCGATGCGTGCTTGGTTCACGGCTTGTGTGGTGAATACGGTGTTTGCACTTACAAACCACAACCTACTTGTGCTTGCCCTCATGGTTTCACCAGAAACGATCCTTCAGATGGGTCGAAAGGCTGCTCGCCAGTGTTCAATTTGAGCCATGATTCAAACAATTCAGAATTCATGGAGCTTCCCAACACAGATTACTATGGATATGACTTGGAAACTTATTCTCCCAAAGTTTCTTTTCAAGAATGCCAGAAATCGTGCCAAAACGATACAAGATGTAAAGGGTTCGGATATACTCTGGATGGACTTGGACATTGTTTCCCTAAAAGTTTACTCCTTAACGGATTAAGTATGCCAAGCACTCTCCAAATCATGCATATCAAAATTCCGAAGGGCTTTCTGAGCAATGAAGTCCTAAACGGGCTAGTAACATATGATTTGAACTGTTCAGCGGCACAAGTTGTTCTCCAAAGTAGTGATGTTGAAGTGGAAAAGGGAAATAAAAATCGGTACATGGATTACCTGATTGGTTTTGTGAGCTCATTTGCGGTAATTGAAGCAATCTGCATTGGCTTGACATGGTGGTACATCTTCCGAAAGCAGGCTAAAGAGGAATTTGTGAACATGGGTTACATAGCATTAGCCATGGGATTCAAGCGCTTCACGTACGCAGAACTAAAAAAAGCAACCAATAATTTCAAGCAGGAGGTAGGAAGAGGAGGCTTTGGAACCGTGTATAAAGGGGTCCTAGACGACGAAAGAGTTGTAGCTGTGAAGAGACTAGATGGTGTCTTGCAAGGAGATGCAGAGTTTTGGGCAGAGGTGAGTGTGATAGGGAATATCAATCACCGAAACTTGGTTAAACTGTGGGGTTTCTGCACGGACAATCAGCATAAGCTTCTCGTCTATGAGTACCTTGAGAATGGATCATTGGACAAAATCTTGTTCTCAGATGTGGAACTAGGATTGGAGCAGAGATACAAGATTGCGGTAGGCACTGCAAAGGGTTTGTCGTATTTACATGAGGAGTGCCTTGAGTGGGTGCTCCACTGCGATGTAAAGCCTCAAAACATACTGTTAGATGATCAGCTTGAACCTAAAGTGGCAGACTTTGGGATGTCAAAGCTATTCACAGATATCCATGGCATCAAAGACATGCAAGGGATGGGATTTTCAAAAGCGCGGGGCACCAGAGGTTATATGGCTCCGGAGTGGATGATGAACCTGAACATTGATGCCAAGGCGGATGTGTACAGCTATGGGATTGTTTTGCTGGAACTTCTGAGTGGAAAGAGCGCTTCGATTCTCATTTCAGCGCTTGCCAAAGAGTACAATGAGTGCAACCAACTGGTTCAATTTGTGACTGAAAAGATAAAAAAAGAAGGGCTTAAGCAAGTGATTGACCAGAGACTACTGCCTGAATTCGAATCGAACAAGCTCGAAAGATTGATGAAAGTTGCTCTGTTGTGTGTTCACGAGGACCGCAATGCAAGGCCAGCCATGAGTAAGGTTGTCGAGATTCTGCTTGAAAATATTGAGTGAAGATCAATTGAAGATCACAGAATAACAGAGGCTGAAAGTAATACCAAATATTGTTTTTGTTTGTAGAATTATGTTGCTACCAATAACTTGTAATCAAGGGTAGGAATCCATCATTTTAGCTTTCTAAGAATTTGTTTCGTGCAATATATTGTTATGAACCTCATATTCAAGTTTTACACATTGAAATCTAAAATTTTCTGAATATGTGCAGATGAGTCTTATGTACATTCTCCGAACGAGAAGTAAATTTTATTCTGATTTAAGCTAAACAGGAGTCTTTTCCTCGGTTCGGTTTTTGGCGATTAGATCTACTTGTACTTGTGT